ACCATGGGAGAAGTGAGTTATGCCATTTGTTATTCTGTTGAATGTAATTTGCCAGTGTAGCATCGTATATCATCGCATTTCTTGACACGATAATTGCAGAAGAATCAATAAAGCACAACAAAGTTGGTTAAATGTTGAGCCCAGTTCTCGAATTTACATTCGCCCCTTTTCTTGAGTTTCCATAGTTTTTCCGCTTAACTACAATTCTAATCAGAACTCTCCTTGTGACGTCTTCCTAATTGCTAGTAAGGTTACAAGTTTTTGAATCTCTTTGCAATTTGAAGGGCGGCACCTAGGAAAATGTCATATATCCAATTGTATGCACGTTAACAACCGCTCCAGCACGGAAGAGGAGCTTTCTCAGCCTCAGTGCTCGGTTCATATAGTTCACTAAAAGGAGTGGAACATGTCTTCATATAGGTTAGTGTGCCCCAAATATTGTTTTCAAAGGCTGCGCGTTTCGGTTCACTTAGAGTGAAACCCTTGTAGCAGACTGCTTGGAGTAATATTTGGAGATATCTCTATTTGCGGCTTCAACCTATTCACTTTACATTTCGTATACATTTCGTATTTGTCCTACTTTCTCTCCGAATGATAGGCAAGAACCAATGAGATGTTGCAAAGGCAGAGACTGTAGATCTCGCTCCAGTCGGTGTGATGCAAGAAATCCTTTGTTACATAACAGAGACGGACATTTCTGGGGAGAGTTGTAGTCTTTGAGTACATACTCGTCTAAAAGACATTGTTTTAACTTCGTTTCGGAATTCCATGAACAGCGTGAACAGGGCAATGCTGAGAGTGCTCCAAATCCGTTCGTCTGATGCCCAAGTTGGGCACATTTTAGGTGTCATCCAATAGCTTTCACTGATCTGGAGATAGAACTCCTGGGGAGGCGGTCGAGTAGCGCGCTTTTTCCCGGCTGTCACTATATATGCATGCTAATAACACAATAAAAAGCAGTTTTCATGAGCTTTTATTTTCAAAAAAAGAGCAACTATATATCGGCTAGGTCATAGTATATGGGCAATATGAAAGCTTGCGAGTGATTTTTGTTAATGCTACAGGCAAAAACCTCACCACATCTATTTCTTTGGAACTTTCTAACTCGCAGCTTCATATTTTTGAATGGCTCCTCTTGTTATAATTCTGAATCAAAGTAGACACTTGTACGTTCCTTTTTATGGAAGGTGATACAAACTACAATTCGAAAACTCCATATAACGCAGAGCCCACTGCAGATGTGCCCTTATTGACAACCCAAAATAGCACCACTCGACATATACCCGAACTCCTGTTGACATTCGCATCAGTCACGGTAAGGAAATCTATCAGCAGGGGAGATTTTCTTTGGGCGAAATATGGATAATCTTTGCACGTCAGGAAGATGAAACACGGTTTTTATAAAGCTCGACAAAATTTAATCATGCGTTCAGAATTATGAGTAGCACTCTCAAAAAATACCAACAAAAAGCGCATTTGACATTTTCACCGTCTTTCTGTTGCATATTATTTTATTTTCTAGATTTTTCGGATTATCAAAGTGAATGCTGTAGTCTACGATAGGAATTGCTAAACCTAGAAGAATTCGTTTGCAACAAAAATACCCCATTTTTTGTTGCGTTCATAATAATAACGCTTATTTGGGGTCATGCCAGATAAGGATTTTGATTATTGACTTTTATTGATTTTTCGAGTTATCTTTCAATATAGCCTAAGGTAATTTCACCATAATCACCTAGAGAGGAAAAGGTCGTGTTTGACCCATTCAACAAAGTTGTGCAGTATATCAAGACTCAGCATTACTGAAAATTGAAGAGGATAAAGCAAAGGATGCGTTTAAATACGAAAATTGAGTGATTTTTCAACGTTACATTTAGCGATTCAAATTTTTGTTATCACAATGGCGAATGATTTTAAGAGACACTACTTACTTTGGAATGAGGCAAATAGTCTGCTTCATGTGGCTTCGTGCTGCACAAGATGCAGCACGGATTCGTTGAGACCCTTAATGAAATAAACGACAATTTTTGGGACCAACCTAGCATTACAATCAGTCTAAATAAATTGCTTGAGCTGAGGAAAATAATATTGAGCAATGTATAATCCTGATTGATTCATTTGAGAACTGTTTGTCATGAACCTTGAAATGAAAACGGTATGACTGCTGACTCTCAGTCTGCGTAGACCGTGAGTGACTCCTGTGGCTT